GAGCCCAGAGAGTCCCCCCTCTGCAAAAAAGGACCCCCAGGGGCCATGTGACCGCTCTAAAAGAGCGGTCACATGGCCCCCATAGGTGTCCATAGTGCTGCCAGCAGGGGGACTGCCTGAACTGACAGGCAGTCCCCCTGCTGGTTGAAAAGTAAAAATAAAGTTAATAGAAGTAAAAAAAATAATAATAATATATATATATATATATATATATATATATATATACACACACACATCACACTATGTCTATTTTGTTTATTAATATATAAATATAATAATATAAAAATACACTTAGAGTAAAATTACACACGTATATGTGTGTGTGTGTATATATATATATATATATATTTTAGTGTATATATAAATAATAATTAAAAATAAATAAACTGTAAAAATAATTTTTTTTAAATTATACATATGTAATTTTATTCCAACTGTATTTTGATAATATATATATATATATATATATATATATATACCCTTAATGACTGTAGACGTACTATGTACGTCTGACAAAAAAACAGTCGTTAAGGACTGCTGACTTACCTAGTACGACCGCAGCAAATAGGAGCCCTGGACATACCTGAACTGTCAATCACCATCAGGGGGGACTGGCAGAGACCCCTGCAGTCCCCCTGCAGCAGCTTGGGCCACCCCGGCCCTACAGAGCCATGTGATCACCATGATCACATCGCTGCAATAGGAGTTTAGGAGCTGCCAGCAGGGGGTTTGCCAGACAGTCCCCCAGGCTGTTAAAAAGTAAAAAAATTATATATATATATATATATACATATATAATTGTAACGGCCACCCAGGTAATGAGAGGGGTGTATGCCATTGGAGACGTCCTTTTCCCCGGCGAGAGGCTGTGCTGTAGTGTATTCCCGATATCCCATCAGCTGAAGCAGGGTAGAGTGAGTAGCAGAGCTCTCACAAGAGCTAGTGATTTAGCTGGATGCAGGTTCCCTTCAATAACGAGACAAGGCTACATATTGAGGGTTAAGCAGAACTGATTTAATGGGCACACAAGCATTTCTTTTATACAACTTTTTTCCACATGGTTACCACCCATGTGGACCTTGTTGGGCACCGAAAACACAAACTTAACAACCAATCATTTACAGTTACACTGCTAAACACTCCCATTCATTATAGTTAATTACTCCCCTCTGCTTGGGAGATAATTGAGTTAATTGTTGTTGTATCAGCTCAATTATCTCCATTCGATTCTAATAAAACGTACATTTTCAGAACGAGCATAATTAGGGAACAAACATATTCAAAAATCATAACAATCGGTTCAGGGGTTCGGGAGATAGCTGGAAGTCCCATCTCTGTGCGGCCGCACACGAGGCTCCTGCCCAAAATAGTTCTATACGTTCAGCTGGTGCGGCCGGTCCCTTTTCGTACAGTTAAAATGCCAAACAGTTATTCTTTTTATTGTTCGTGCTTTTGCTGGTCATGTGCCGCCTTGTTCGTGCAATACTTTATACTTTTACCGAACGCCGCCTTGTTCGTATGTATCTGTGCGAAGCTAAGTGGTCCTGGAAGTCTCAGCAGTGTCCGGGAGTTTACATTTCCGAAAATAGTTCCAGACACTTGACGACCAAACCCCGCTGGTCGCGGTTGACAAAACAAGATAGCCACCGCCACATGTTCGTACATACGAATCGACGGCCACCCAGTGAACAACTTAGAACGTTTGCAGTTTGCGGTCTGGCACAGAGTCAAGGAGTTAATTGGCGGCACACACCTGGGCTGGGTGGTCTCTGGTTCAGTAGTTTGTGCGGTTATACAAATGGGTTAGCAGTGTCAATCGTTTTCCCATTCGTGTGTTAAATATAACAATGGTAACAAATCCAGGGGTTACAATGTTCCAAGTCTGTTGGCCAGGCAATAACATGGGATCTGTTACAATAATAATTAAACCATTTTATAATATATAATGCATCTATATGATTTCATTATAAGTGCACTTTGAGATATATATATACTTATAATGAAATCATATATGTATAATATATTATAAAATGCTTTAATTATAATATATTATACATTTATAGGAAATAAAAGTGTGTGTGTATATACATACATACATACACACACGTACTATATACACACCTATTATAATAATATTTATATTTGTGTTCGGCGGGCTGTATCCAATAAGTCAGACATGTCTTTAAATAACTGTTTATGTATTGGTAACCTTAGGGGTGAAGGAGTGGTACTGGTTTTCTGTATGCCTTTTACTATGTTTTTTATGGGGTAAGATGATAAAAAAAAACTAGGGTTATCTGGATATAACTTATACATGTGGTGTTGGATGCCGGTTAAATATATTTTAATGGTGTTGTGTGATAGTTTGAGATGACAAAAGGATTCAAAAGCTACAAGAGTTGAAATAGTGAAAAAATGAACCAGGTTATGTTCTAACATAAATCTCTTATACAGTGTGAAATCTCTATTTTAAGACAGTTTTGTGTTTTCAGAGAGAGCCAAACTAGCCAAGGCAAGACTATGCCTTGCTAACTCTTTTAATCCATTACAAGTTCCTGAAAACTCGGTGCAGCAGTGGCTGTTGGTGAGGCCGTGGTCAACGTGTCTCTGAAGGCCTGGAATTCAAAGCTAGACAATTTCTCAGCTGCAGTATTATAAATCCCTGGTACATGACAACACACCAAATAAAATTGATTACAGGCTGCCAACCAGGTCAGTCTCCTCATGAATCTCATGATCGTCAGAGATGAGGAACGTCCCTTGTTTATAATGTGGCAGGTAGCTAAGTTGTCCAAGAAACAGCGTACCGAGCTACCTGCCCAAGACTGACCCAATACCACGGCCATTGCAACCATGGGGTATGCCTCGAATAAGTCTGAGGTGCGTGAGAACCCTTTGATGGGCCGAACCTCCTCTGGACAACCATCCCAGAGCCACTCATTGCCAAATATGGCAGCAAAACCTGTGGATGCTGCAGCATCCGTCCGAATGACATGAGAATGAATAAACAATTGTGGTAAAAACATACTTCTGCCATTCCATTGCAACAAGAATTTGCGCAACATTAATAAATCAGCAGTAGCCTGTGAATCCAGGCAAATACGGCTAAAGTCATTCGTCAATAGTTGAAGAAGGCAAAGGAGTCTAGAAATAAAGGCTCTACCTTGTGGAATGATTCTTATTGCAAAATTTAGGGAACCCAACAAAGATTGCAATTCCTTCCGATTGCATGTCCTACTATGCAGAAAATCATTTATGGTCTGCAAGATACTATCAATTTGCCTAAGGGGAGGCTAGCTTCCCTGCTCGCTGAGTCGAGAAGGATACCCCAAATTTTTTACCAACGTGTCAGGGCCTTCTGTTTTCTTGGGAGAAACTGGCACCCCCAAGGAATGAAAAAAACTAGATGGCATTGGTTAGATTACTGGGAGGAGAGGAATTATTCTCGACAAACAAAATCATCTAAATAATGTATCACTGTATGGCACTTGCAATTGTTCAACAGTAGCCAACATAAGGTCTTGAATATTTTGGGGCTGCTTTTTGACCCGAAGGTGAGCCTCGTAAAAAAAAATAATATAAACCTTTCCATTTCAGACCATGCAGATGCCATAGAGATGGGCGTATGGGCAGTAATTTAAATGCATTGATGATGTCTGTCTTACTCAGCCAAGCTCCTACACCTGTTGTAATAATAGTGTGTATAGCGTTGTCTATGGTGGCGTACTGAAGAGAAAATTCCTCAGATGGAATTAGTGAGTTAAGGTTTGGTATGGCCAAGGAGTGAGGTGTGGACAGATCTAAAATGAGTCTGTTTCCTTGAGGATTTCCCGTGACTAATCCTATAGAGTTGGTTCTCCAATTTGGAAATTTGGGTGCCTGAAAAGGTCCCAATAAAAACCCATCTTCCAATTCTCTTTGTAAAAGAGCATCAACCGTTTCCACGACAGAAAACGCTGATTGCAAATTGTTGCATTCGTAAAAAAAGCAGAGATATGTACCAGACCTGTATGAAATCCCTCCGTAAAACCATCAATCAAAAAATCCACTGGTTGTTTGGATGGGTAAGAAGCTAAGGTGTGAGCCAAAGAACCAATGTTTACAGATGTCCAATACAGTTTAGCATGACTTTTATTAGGACATATGGACTTGGCATGAGCCCTAAAACAATGTGAACACCAGGGCTGGACTGGGAAAAAAATTTGGCCCGGTCATTTTTCAATCACAGCGGCCCCTGAGAAGGGGGCAGGGCCAGAGACGGTGTCTTTTGTCATCACTAAGGACAAGCACACCCCCTCTCAAACTGAGCATGTTAGTTCAATGCGCAGAGCCCAGCTGAAGAGCTCTAGCAAGAGAAAAAGGCACTGTATTTGTTCTGCGCAGCGCAAGCAAATTTAATAACATGCTTGCGCTGTGTTTGCTTTTAACCTGTCTCTGGTGTCTCAGTAAGTGGGATACCAGAGGACAAAAGGGCCAGGAAAGCGTATCGTGCTAGGGGCTGTAGAGAGTGTGTGTATAGAGGGCATAGTGTGTATTGGGGATGTAGTGAGTGTGTGCATACCGGCTGTAGTGTGTGTAAGGGTTGTAGAGAGTGTGTGTTTAGAGAATGTAGCATGTGTTTGTTAACAAGGAATGTAGTGTGTGCATAGGGGATCCAGAGTTTGTATGTCAGGAATGTAGTGTGTGTGTGTGTTTGTAGGGGATCTAGTGTGTAAAGGACACAGAGTGTGTATAGGAGATTGTATGTGTGTAGATGATTTAGAGTGTATATAGGGATCTACTGTGTGTATGTGTGTGTGTGCGTAGATTAGATGATCCAGAGTTGGGTAAGGGATCTAGCGTGTACCTGAAGTGTAATGTGTGTAGTGGTGCAGTTTGAGGGGGTGCTATAGTATATATATATATATATATATATATATATATATATATATATATATATACAAATATATATGTATATGTGAGGGTCACAGTGTGTTGGACCACATGCTGCACCCCTCACACACACATGCTGCACACAGCACACCCAACACGCTGTACCCCTCACACACATGCTGTGTGCAGCATGTGTGTGTGAGGGTCACAGTGTGTTGGGTGTGTTGTATGCAGCATGTGTGTGTGAGGGGTGCAGCGTGTTGGGTGTGCTGTGTGCAGCATGTATGTGTGAGGGGTGCAGTGTGCTGTGTGCAACATGTGTGTGTGAGGGGTGCAGTGTGTTGTGTGAGGGGTGCAGTGTGTTGTGTGTGAAGGCTGCAGCATGTGTGTGAGGGGTGCAGCATGAGTGTGAGGGTGTTCTTACCATCACATTCTATGTGTCTAATTATCTTTGTTAATTCACTGAGGGTTATTTTATATGAGATATATATATATATGTGTGTGTATGTGTGTGTGTGTCTGAGGGTGCTGTATGTGTGCGAGGGTGCTGTGTGTTTGAGGGCGCTGTGTGGGTAAGTGTGCTGTGTGAGGGTGCTGTGTGTTTGTCTAAATGTGCTGTGTTTGTGAGTGTGCTGTGTGTGTGAGCGTGCTGTCTGTTTGAGCGTGCTGTCTGTTTGAGCGTGTTGTGTGTGCGTGAGAGTGCTGTGTAGGTAAGTGTGCTGTGTGGGTAAGTGTGCTGTTAGTGTGAGTGTGCTGTGTTTGAGGGTGATGTGTGTGTCTGAGGGTGCTGTGTGTGAGGGTACAGTGTGTGTGTGTCTGAGGGTGCTGTTAGTGTGCTGTGTATGTGTCTAACGGTGCTGTGTGTGTCTGAGGGTTGCTGTGTGTGTCTGAGGGTGCTGTGTGTGTGTCTGAGGGTGCTGTGTGTGTGTGCTGTGTGTGTGTGTGTGAATATGTCTGGAGGGATTGTGTGTATGGGGGGCAAGGTGTAAATTTATGATTTTTTAAAAAATTATTGTTATAATTAAAAATAATGTGGGATAAAATCAGATTTAAGAAATAGGGGATAAATAAAAAATATTAAAAATAATAAACTTCATATCCCCCTCTTACCTTTAGCTTGGGAGGGGGAGGTAGCCGTGTGTCCTTGGAGGAGTCCCTGGTGTTGCTGTCCCATGCTGCAGTCCCTGGTGGTCCTAGTGGTGAGTGAACTCTACCCTGCAGTTCCTGGGGTAGAGTTCACTTTCGCGAGGTCTGAGGGTTGCCGCGGTAACCGCAGCAATGCTCAGACCTCGCGAGAGGACCTGGCGTAGGTGCTGTCTAGAGCTCCGCCGGTCCTCTCCTCCTTCCCTCACTCACCAGCCAGCATAGCAGTGTTTGATCTCCCCACCGGCCCATTGAGGCACACAGCAGGGCCGGCACACTGATTGTGTCTGCTCTGCATGGGCCGGCCGGGGAGATCCTGTGATCTCCCCTGCTGGCCTCGGCCCCTGGCCATCGTGGCCCACTGGGCATTTGCCCGGTATTCCCAATGGCCAGTCCGGGCCTGGTGAACACACATGCAATAATCTGCAGGCACTATGTCTGCACGTACCTACGTTAAAATTGTTGCACACCTGCGACTTTCCAAGGTAAACAATAGGACGACTGAGTTTGTCCTTGCCTGATCTGTCTGTCCTTGTTTGTGTCTCGTGGAAAGTCCCAGGTGTGGACTCTAGCATGATGGGACAATAGACCGAAGCATGTGAGGTGGATGTACAAATTGCACAAGCCGGTGTCTTTAGACCAGCAAAGTGCCTGCAAAATAGCTTAGTATCCATGCGGCTCCAGTGAGTTTTAACGTTATACTGAGCCAAAATTGCAGATGCCCTTGCCGAAAAGGACTGGTGGTAATCAAAAAAAGAGATGACCCACCGTATTTATGTCCACCAGCTTGTGCAAATAAAGGTCAAGTTCCTCTCGTCTATGCGGGTATACCAAACAAATTACATCCCTATATATATATATATATATATATATATATATATATATATATATACACAAAATGCAATGACAAAATTGGGTATAGACAGTTTCTTATTAAGTCTAGGGTCCCTGGCTACCACCGAAATATCCCCATAAGCATAAGTGCGGTTCTCAATAACATTGTGTGAAGCAATAAGAAGTGCAACAAGATTAACATTCTTCCACTCCAAGATGTCTTTCTTAATGTTTGCGGGAACCATATGCACCGGATTAATAATGTGGGTTTCAGAACCTGAAGGTAAATATTTAGAGGTTTGATTGAACAAAACGTAAGTGATATAAGCCAGCCTGAGCCTAAAAAGTAAGCATAGAGTAATAAGTAGTGGAATCTCTGAAAATACTAGCCTTAATACAGTACTGAATTGAGTAGCGTAATATGAAACTGACCAGCAGTTTCATATTACGCTATATCTATATAGACAAACCATAGGTACACTTAGTTTCTGTAAAAGCCTCCCCTTAGCTGCCAACATGAAAATTCATATCTATCTATCAATCTATCTATCTCAATAAACACAAAATAGATATAGAAAGAAATGGAAAGAGTAAAAAAACAGTCTGTCAGTATAGTGTTTAAAAACCTGTATTGTCATGATCTGCCTCCCAGTGTACAACCCCTCCATATAAGTGATATATACTTTAAAGCTGAGCTTCCCCTGTTTTTAAAATATATGCAAGAGGACAGAATGCCCAGTAATGTCTGAGTGAGGAAATATAATAGCTTTTGCCACATGGGAATTAGTTTATCAGTAGGTAATACTTGTGATGTATTGGTCCCAGTGCTTGTTAACACAGTAGTATTGTAAAACAGTAGTATGCCCAGTAATTAGAGCATGTACAGCCATTTGTACATGTAGTTTGATATAACAGGAGTTTCTTCCACGTGGGAGAAGAAAACAAACTGCCGGCAAATGAGGAGACCGTGGGTGGTCTCTAAGAGCCTGCGTCCGTGTGTGTGTGAATTCCGTCCCCCCCCCCACCCTCCAGAGCAAACCACGAGCGTGTGGAGGAGGGGTGAAGGGACCGAAAAAAACATGTAAGCTTACAAGCACCTGAGCAAGTGGCAAAGCAGCAGCTTGTTGCCGACCGAGGACCGCACAGACCGCGCACTGGAAGTAACAGGATCGTGACCCAAAAGTAGTGAACCATAAGTGATCGCCTGCCGAACATCTGATTCCGGCGGTGATGCAGATAAGGGGGGAGTGCCTTAAGTAGGATCAACAAGCCCCTCCCACAACTCAAGGCAAGCCTTTACATATATATATATATATATATATATATATAAAACAAGAGCACCCCCATTTATGCATGTTAAGGTGAGTGCAGCCAGCCCCCTCTTGTTTTATATATATATATATATTTGGGAGTCTAGCCAACTCCTTGGTTTTGCACCCCTCCTTGTCACAGGTGCCTCATCCCAGGGCCCTATTTAGCCTTGTACTGCAGAGAGCCCCAGGTGGAATTTTTTCCCCCAAGTAGGTTAATCTCATAAGAGCAGACATTAGGCTGTTAGCGTAGGACCTGCCAAAGATGGGGTACATTGACGTTGTGGCAGGCTTATGCAATGTATGATCATATAATGTAACTAAACCCCCATTATTTTTGCCTAAATTAGGTGTTTTTAAAAAAACAAATAAAATCTTTCAACATTGAAGTTGCTGTTTAGTGGATAGGTGAGTGCGCTGGATCTTGTGTATTGTATTATTTGGCCCCCAGCAGCACCCCCATTTATGCATGTTAAGGTGAGTGCAGCCAACCCCCTCTTGTTTTATATATATTTGGGAGTCTAGCCAACTCCTTGGTTTTGCACCCCTCCCTGTCACAGGTGCCTCATCCCAGGGCCCTATTTAGCCTTGTACTGCAGAGAGCCCCAGATGGAATTTTTTTCCCCAAGTAGGTTAATCTCATAAGAGCAGACATTAGGCTGTTAGTGTAGGACCTGCCAAAGATGGGGTACATTGACGTTGTGGCAGGCTTATGCAATGTATGATCATATAATGTAACTAAACCCCCATTATTTTTGCCTAGATTAGGTGTTTTTAAAAAAACAAATAAAATCTTTCAACATTGAAGTTGCTGTTTAGTGGATAGGTGAGTGCGCTGGATCTTGTGTATTATATATATATATATATGTATATATATATATATATATGGAAAACGATGAAGAGAGCACTCCAGAGGATTTTTTCAATCAAACTTTATGTGTAGTGAAGGGGATCAACTCAGGAGGTCTTTGTCAAGGGTCGAAACGTTGATCCCCTTCACTACACATAAAGTTTGATTGAAAAAATCCTCTGGAGTGCTCTCTTCATCGTTTTCCATATTTATTTACGCCGTGCAGCACCGAGGTTATTACCGAAGCTGATTTAAAGGTAGAGTGCCATATTTCCGTATATATTTCTGTATATATATATATATATATATATATATATATATATATACACACGTATTATGTGTGTGTGTGTGTGTATATGTATACATATATATATACACACAGGGCCGGCTTTAGGCGCCCTGTGTGAAAATTCTTCACAGCGCCCCCCCTCCCCCACCCGTCATCCATGTATAGTGTGTGTGTATAGGAGTGAAGTGATTGTATAGGGGATTTATTAAATTAATAATGATTTAAAAACAAATATTAATGTATCCTTTCCTGTTGTTACAGTTGGGACATGCTGATCTGAATCTGGTCTGCCCCTCCACTGGGTATGGACCAGGTGTAACTGTCTCGCAAGCTCAGGGACTCGCAGTGTCCTGTGGTAATCTGCGGCAGCGCTGTGATTATCCTGAGCTAGGAAGACAGCTACTTATGATCTGCAGCCAACAGAAGTGCCAGACTGCCTCCCCTACATTACAGAGGAGCAGACTAAGTATGTCACATAATACTGTGAGTGGTTTTGCTATGGCGCTCTAGATTATACTTATTTACCTTGTCCTCTTTGGAAATATAATTTTGTAGTAATGCGCTACTTCTCCATTTATCACAGAGCTCCACAACAATAAAACTCCCAGTAATGTGGAGCTCTGTGACAAGATCATACACTATACCACAATACAACGCTAAGTAATGTGTCTATTAGTGTATCACCAAGCTCCCTAACTATAACACAGAGTAATGTGCATTTTATATACCAAAGCTCCACTGTAATAAATCTCACTATAATATGATGTAATGTTTGTGTTGTCTGTGTATGTGATAGGTGTGATGACTGTGTGTGATATGTATGCTATGTGTTGGCTGTGTGTGATATTTGTAATGGGTGC